TCAAGTGCTTAGGCGGAATTTCGGGTTGTGTTTGCTGTGGACTCTCTTAAGCTTGCCTAAGTTCAAACGTCAGAAACCTCCCTACCAGTGTTTAGGGTATTGAGTTTTTTGGGGTTTAGCATCTGCGGTTTTGGGGTTTGAGTATCGCCTTCATGCCAAACTGTCTGCCCGCACTGGTGAATATGCCCATGAGAATGTCCTGAGCTATGACCTTCGTGATTGCCGTGCTCGTTCTCCAAGCACTTGCTTTCGTCGTGAACTTGGACCCGCACTTCGTCACCAAGGGAGAAGCGTAAGGGTGTCACCATACAGCTTTCGAAATCTGCAGTGAGGCACTGACGACGTCCTTGCATTCCACGGCCAATGAAGATGATACGATTCTCACGTGGTTGTCCTTCTTCCCAATTTTCCGAAAATCCTGTTGTTCTCACCATATGCACACACTGCACGATATACTTCGAGTCGCTCCCAGCGATTTCCAGGACGCCCTTTATGCGAAGAAAGTCCTTTGCCGTGTCTTCTTCGCCTAGGTACTTGTCCAAGAAAGCTTGAAATGCAAACAGATTGACAGCTCCCGAACAACGAACACCGACGTTGGACACCGATCGATCCATCTTCGGTTGGTAGAACTTTGTAAAATCCTCCTCGTCCATGTACTGCTCTTCAAGAACGCGGCCCAGACTGAAGATGGAAACATTGAAAAGTCTCGACAAGCTGACGCGGGATTGCAGACATCGCAAAAGGACTGCAGATGGGTTGATCTCCCGGACACGCAGCTCGACGTCTTTCAAGTGCGACTCATTGACCAGATCAGTTTTGTTCAACAGCACCATGCTTGAAAAGGCGATCTGCGCAGCTGCCGTGCCTTTGTTCATTGGATCCGCATGACTTTCAGCCAACTGTTCTAGCACATGCCTGGAATCCACCAAAGCTACGACGTTGTCGATATAGAAAGCCTCGGGACTCACGCTGCAGGCTTTTCGGTTCCAAGCGTTTGGGGTTGTGTTTCTGTGGGTTTCAGAAGTGGTTTCCTGTGTTGCACGTGGGGTGGGGAAAAATGCCTCTGAGACGGAGTCCACCATGAAAAACGATTGCACGACCGGTGCAGGGTCTGCCACGCCGGTGAGCTCAATAACCACACCGTCAAGAAAGTTGCCAGTCTCGTGTTTTCTCCATATGGCGGCCAGTGCTCTCACGAGGTCGGCGCGGATGTTGCAGCAAACGCAGCCGTTGTCCAAAACGACGACATCTTCCTGACCAACGCCCAAGACCTTGTCTCCAATCAAGGCATCGTCCACACTCACTTCGCCGACCTCGTTTTCAATTACAGCCAGCTTCTTGTCATGCTGTTCTCGCAGAATGTAGTTGAGCAGGGTTGTCTTACCAGCTCCCAAATATCCGGTCAGAACCAGAACTGGGAGCTTGCGCTGCCCGAAACTGTTGTAGACATGGTGTTCTACCTGGTTTTGACCATCGACAGCATCCAGATCTTCGATCAAAACCATGGTTCATGCGGCAACAAAAAGTGCGTGAGCACGAAGCTACTGTCGTGCACGCCCATATTGACCCTAAAAGCCGATACCGAAAAGCTGTACTTTGGCATAATGCTGTTACATTCACCGGCTGTCCTACATGTGCCACCATGGAGCCCACCGCACCGCTTCAATCATATACAGCTTTCCACGTTTTACTCAACGGGTTTTGAGCTCGTAACATCCTTGGGCAAAGAGCCTTTGATCCGAAACTCCGACGGGTCATGGCAGAATCAGTTCGCCTGGCAAGCCAAGCGAAAACAACACGCCAGCAGACGGGGCAATACATATTTGGGCTTGTGGTCTAAAGTCTGGAATTGAGGATCTGGATCTGGGGTTTAAAACGTCTATGCCCATAATGCCCATAAGTATTATCCTAATCATGCCCAGTCGAATCAAAACCTCAACGTCAACACTCTACTCGAAGCCAAGGAATATGCCTTAATCAGTTAAAGATCCCTCAAGATTCAAGGGCCTAGATTCGAGGGTATATTCCTGGTAGCGGGTTCTCTGGATTCCGTGCGCACGGCCTTCTTATTCGAGACTTCCACAGGTCAGACTCGGATGGAAAAAGCCTTGAAACTGCTGCACCCGGGGCATACGACCATGTAGGCTAACACAGTGCAACACACCATTCTCCATCCTTCAAACTCAGGACCCACAGACTCCTTACAACAGAGGCTTCTCAATTAAAGAACAGAGCTTCCAGTTTTGGGCTTGGGGTTCACGGTTTAGGGTTTTGTTTAGGGTCTTAGTGCTTTGCAAAATGACGAGGGGGATTTGGCGCCTTCGGGGGGTTGGGACCTGGCGTTCTGAAGTCCTTTCTGCTAATGGTCAAGCAAAGAATATGCGCGAATGTTTCAGCCGAAGGGCTGGGGCCTGGAAACCCAGAGACTCCAATATCCGTTAATTAGGGAATTTACCTTAAATTATGGTAGGAAATTATGGTAGGATCCCTAATATGATTT